TGCTACAGTGTAAAACTTTGGGTAGAAAAACTGGTCTAATCCCAAATTTGACATTGATCCATTTATATTTTTCATTTGATAGTATACGTCCAGCTTTCTCAGGGGTGACATATTTGCACATATTTCGTTGCCACTGTATAATGCCGGACAAATATCTTGTAAATTGTTATGTACTAAGTCGCGGGTAGCTTCGGATGAAACGGTATCTCTTCCTCGACTAAAGAATTATTAGCTGCAGTTTTGCTAGCCAGATTGCCGCATAAAATTTATAATTCATTCAATGTAGCTCCAGATGAATCATTTTTGTGGTGCGATTCCACAATAATTTTGTGTTGGTTGGATGATCAACCTGTACGTGGAACACATTTGTGGCCAAAAGGGTGAGCGAAATCCAATCGCTAACAAAGTCACCATAGGTACGGTTCCCCTGAGCCTCAGTTGGACAGAGGGTCCCTTGTTCGGTACACCGATGGTTCGAAAATGGAAGAAGGTGTAGGCGCGGGTGTATATCGACACGGATGTAGGCTATTCGAAGAGTTAGGTCACTTCGCCACTATATTTCAAGCTGATGTACGTACATGCCATCAACCTATGCGCCCAAAGGTAACTGGGCAAAGGTGTGAGGGTTCCCTAAAATCATTTGCTTTCACATCAAAGATTACATAGGACTTCTTCGAAACACTTATGGAATTGGAAAAGTATAACAAAGTCACACTTATGTGGAATGTAACATGAGGCAGCTGATCGCCCAGCAAAGAAAGGTGCAGCATCTGCACTCTTTGGTCCTGAGCCTTTTTGTGGAATAAGCAAATATCACCTAAAGATACAATGGGCCACCATAGGCCTAAGTGTCGTCGGAGACATGGTCAGACGAGCCTACAAACGGGGTGGAGTTTTTAGTGGGTAAACCCTGGCTAGAGTCAGGGGAGTCCCACACTATCATATGGGGGATTGGACCCATATGGTGTCCATAATGGATTTAAACCAACTCGACAAAAAAAAAACGAAAAAAAATCATCTAAAGGGAGAATATAGGAAATGGAAATAAATTGAAAAGTTCTACTACAAAAGCTAGCAAACAAAATGACGTACCGAAGCTCAGAACTTATTGCTGGACCCGTTGGTGATTCTCAAGGAAGAGAACACTCCTCCGCTGAGTTGGAAGCTGGGTGGAGTTCTAGACTTCCATCCTGACAAGGATGGTATAGTTTGAGTGTAAAAGTGAGTGGAATGGTATCTTGAGAAAGTCAGTGCAAGAACTCTGTGTCCTTCCGATTGAAGGAAATTGAAACATTAGATTGATTTCAGGACTCGGTGTTAATTGTCGAAATTGCATGTCGTTTTATATCGAATCATCACCTGTTAGAATCTTGATAGATATTTTTAATTCTATAGCTTTTCAAGAGGTAGATGTATTGCCTTTTGATTTTATGTTCCTCTTTTTTCGAATAATCAGCAATTGTATCTTTGTTTAATTTTAATATTCCTCAGGTATGGTATATTGTATTGGAAGACAGACCATTCAAGGGCGGCAGTTTATAATCAAGCTTAGCGCGTATGCCTATGTAGGAAAGGCGAATTAGGAATATTCCACTTTGAATGTTAGCAATATAAGGGCATGATGCTGTTTGTCAATAACGATAGACCATGAGTGTCTCGCCAAATGTTCCATGTGTGTCTGTCTAGAAAAATGTATATGGGCATGAATAAGATCTGTTTATCTCATTTTAGTGTTCCAAAGAAGCTGCCGTATAAGGCATGCACGAATCCGGGTTGTTCTCTGTATGTAGTATCCCATCTGTCAAATAGTGTTTTATCTATCATTCAAATCGAGTGGGAAAAAACCGTCTATGATAGACAAGATCGTAAAATATATAGAGTGAAAAACTGATGCAGATTTTTCTCAATTAGTATCTGGATTTTATATGCCTTGAATCTTGATTTTTATACATAATTTAGTGAATTGTATTTTGCGGAATACCTGTGATGGCAGGAATTTCTCGTGTAGACAAACTGGGAGCTACTTGTATGCAACCCAGGATTCCTATCGCATTATAAAACCGGTTCACATTATCATTTTCCTCCGATTGATAGATCCAGTGTTGGGAGCCATGTTCTTCTTGTATTTTTCACTGGAGGATCTTTATTGAATATAGTTCTGACTCTTCTTCTTGAAATTTCATGAAATTCGGTTTAGAAATGCAGTACGAATGCTCGACAATCTTAATTTGACACATATTCAATCTGGCACTACATCACCACAATGCAATCCCAAGTCATTCCAAATGCAGTAACAAATCTTCATGCAGAAGTTGCTCCAGGGAGTTAGAACTGTGACATATATTCGTAGGAATGAGGAAAACATGACTTGTGATAGAGAAAAATTCCAGTCTTATGAGTGCAAAAATATACTGGGTGATTTCATGAGATGGAGAAGTTGCTCTATGCCTGAAAAATGACTCGTTTGTTCCTGGTAGAACCAAAATGTTTATTGAGAAGGTGAACCTATCAAAAAGATCTTGACTCGACTAGTCTAAACCGCACAACGATTACCCAAATAGATATGAGCATTTGAAATGGGTCAGAATATAACTGGATACCCGGTACCTGGGGATTGATCTATTGATTCCATTGAGTGGATTTATTCGATTGTATCACGTTACAATGATGGAAGATCCTTTATCAAACTCATGTGGAAACCGCATTCAATCTCATTTGTGATATAAATAATATTATTGGTTATGTTTATACAGAACTAATGATATAGGTACCTTTACCAAGTAAGTACATGAATATGAATTCAAATTGTTTGAGTTGTTTTCCTATATAATATATTCTTCAGCGCAGGTAATATCTTTCTACACTATTCCAATGGACATCAATCCAATCTTCGAACATACAGTATAGATACATCGGCTCCGTAACATCGGTTGTCAGATACTGTCTATCTCATTTCCGGGTACTTAAGATTAGGGTCCCATTATTTGTTATAACCTGAACAATATACTTATATTATGAGAACCCATCAACGCATTCACTTGTTGTGTGTTGATAAAAGAATATAGGAACATATTTATCATATATTTTGATACGATTCCTATTATTCTCAGAATAATCGAAAAGAAAATTCTCAGGATATTCAAACAGAATATTCCGAAAATATGCCAAATAGAATGTTCATAAAATATTGATTACAGAATGAGAATATCCTATAATCATTATTTTTTTTTAAGTTTTGGTTCCCACGAACACCTCCCTTGGCAATGCGTTCCAGAGCCTCGCTGTTCGTAGGATGAACGAGTCTTCGGAAAGAGATGTTCTGCAGGTCTCCAAAGTGACGACGAAGGGGTATAAAATAGAGCCAGATCGCCAACTTTTCTACGGTGTTCCAGAGAAGTGAGTGAGTTTGTGAGCGAGGCATCACCCACGAGACGGAATGCCGTTTTCTGGACAGGATTCAACAGTTTCAGGGTATGTTTGGGTGCTGCACTCCAAATATGGGAACAGTATTCCAGGACAGGACGGATCTGTGCCTTATAGATCATAAGCAGCTGACTGTGGATGTGAAATAGCTCCTGGCCCGAAACAGAAAACTAAGTTTTTGGGATGCACTTTTAGCAATAGAGCTCATGTGACTTTCCCAAGAAAGGTTATTGCTGATAGTAGTACCAAGCATAGAAATGGATGTCTTCAAAGGTATGGTTATATACTCCTGAAAAGATTATGTTGGGCACATACACCCGTCTCCGTACCAACGGTCGTCAGATACTGTCTTTCTCATCTCCCGGTCCTCATATTCGGGACCCATAATATTATTTGTTATAGCCTACAATATACAGGGTTGGGCAAAAGTATGGAACCAGGTGAATATCTCGGTAACCGTTTCTTAGATTTTTCCGAATATATGTACAGGGTGATTTTAAATTGTGAAGAATTTGAAAATGTTATCGTCGATGTTGCCACTTTTTCAGTTCTTCCGGAATTATTATTAACTTCCTTATGTCAAATAGGACACTCTGTATTTTATCGAATTTCCATATTCTCCCTAGAAAGCTGATTTCATCGATTAATCAGACTTGGGGTCTAACAAGAATGCTTGCTGAGATATGCGGTGTTCAAAATCGAGATTTTTCAACATTAGGATTTTTTGTGTAAAAACTATTCATTATTGGTCAAAACGGCTCACATGTCCCTACGTCAACTTTTGATTTACTATCTACCGACATTTAATTGAAACAAATACAGAGTGCATGGTTCAAGATGCAGAAACCTGATCACCCTGTTTCTGTTCCCATCAAGTACCAATAGATCGTAAATCAAAAGTTGAGACAGGGACATGGAAGCCGTTTTGAACGATATTGAACAGTCTCGACACAAAATAATCCTAAAGTTGAAAAATCTCGATTTTGAACACCCTATATCTCAGTTATCATTCTTGCTAGACCCCAAGTGTGATAGATCGATGAAATCAGCTTTTTAGGGAAAATATGAAAATTCAATAAAATACAGGGTGTTTTATTTCAAATAACGAAGTTGATATTAATTCCAGAAGAACTGAAAAAGTGGCAACTTCGACGATAACATTTTCAAATCAACCACGTTTTGAAATCACCTTGTACATATATTCAAACAAATTTAACAAACGGTAACCGAGATATTCACCTGATTCCATACTTTTGCCCAACCCTGTACAATTATACTAATATCAGAGTAATATTATCATAAAAACCATCGACGCATTCTTTTGATGACTCTTTAGCTTCTAGGATATAAGCATGATATTCGTTCGCCTATCAGAAGGAACTGTGGTTCTTATGCCAATTGTTATATTCTTTACAAAGTTACATGAAGTGGCAAGTAATCGAACCAGGTCGTATATTTGTCCTGACTATAATACGAGCTGAACGTTCGCATACTATAAGCAGAAATTTCTAAATTTCACTCTTGTAAGGTTATAATGTAAAGAGAAAGGCCTGAAGTTCCGCCACTGAACCATCGCCATTGCACGATTGCACTAACAACATTCAAGTTCAATATCGTCTGGTGACCTTAGTAAACAGGCGCCCTTCTGTCGTAGTGGTCGTATGATAAAATAACCGACAACCGTTGTTCCATTCAAGGGAAACTGCCGTCTACACTACCTACCTACCTGAAGCACAGCTGAAGCGTGCTGATGCCATAGAACTGTAGCCAGAGTGGTTTTAGTTTGAGGTCTAAAAGGGTCAGTGAAATTATTTGAATACTGTATCTTGGAAGTTACCCCGTAGTTTAAAGCATTATACGAGGTGTTTTTGAAATAAGTACATTCCGCACATCGATGTCTCGATGTGATACAGTCTAATGAATATTCCCATGATATTAATCTTTTTCTAATTCTTTTAACTAACGAGAAATTCCATCCCGAATGTTGAACAAAAATGGTATTTGTTTTTAAAATACAAAGAGGTCAAGCACCAAATTATTTGGTAAATAAGCTGACTTATAATAAATAAACTCGTAAATAAATGCATCATCATAACACCAGACAAAAAGAACACTTTTTTATTTCACCCAGGAGTAAAAGTTTGGCAGAAAATTCTGTTTTTTTTTAAGGATTGAAACAATATAATGACTTGCCATCTGACGTGAAGAATGCATTCTCCATCAATACATTCAAGACCAAGTTCAAAATGCATTTATTGGAACGAACCAACTCAAACTTTTGAATATTTTAAATCGTCTATTTAATGTCTTGTATTTTTATTGTACCTTTTGTGTTGATCTTATGTTTGTGAATTAAGTGTCTAGATGTTCCTTGTTCGTTTAGATCTTATGAATGTTTTTATATTTCATAGACTTGTATAAATGAATAAATAAATAAATAAAAACGGGACTACGTCAAAATTGCTACAATGTAGAACTCTGAATGGAAAAAGGGGTCTCATCCTGAATTTCATTTCCATTCCTATATTTTTTTCAATTGGTGCCATATATGTCAGTTTTTCCAGGGATTGAAATATTTGCACTTATTTCAATGCCACTCTGTATTTCAATAACTGCATTTTGCATTATATTAAAATTCAAACTTATCATTGTTTATCATAGTCATGAGAATGTGGGATATTTATTATTTCGTCGGTTTCGGTTACTTAATCAGTTGTCGTTGTCGATTGCGCCTCGTAACATGCGTATAACTTTCAGACAGCAGACAGCATCATTCCCGAAAATCTACTGAAAGCTGAAAGGGGAAGAAGCTGGATATTTGGATAATCCGATCAGTAGGTTTGAAGTTGTGTGTGTGCGTGTGCGTAGCATTAACGAAGTGGGCCTGAAACAAAAATAAATGGAGACATTCGTATTGCGAGCGTATTACAAAATAGGATCATTGTTGATTGCTCAATGGATATAATGTTAATTAGTGTTGATGAATATTTACTTTGAATAACCAGCACAGCAGATAACTGAACGGTGACTTGTAAGTGATTATACTCAAAATGAACACCAAAGTTGAAGCCTTTGAGCAAGAAGATTTGCTTGACAAGAGCAAAAATGTGGCAGTGAACAGGTCACAACAGAACGGAAACAATTCTGGTAAGTAATCCTGATATCCACAATAATTATTGATGTTCTTACTTTAATTTTTTTAACCTCCAAAGTTGAAATATTATGAAATGTGAATCATGTTGGAATATATTATGATTCATGAGTCGAAGTTGGATACATGATAATTTTATTGAATTGCAGTGTTGCACAATAATGCACATTGCACAGTGATACAATACTCATATTATTTGTTTTGTTGAATTTCGTGACGATCGAAGACAGCGTAGAAATCAAAGAAACCAGTGGCGGATCGAAAACAATCTGGTTAGGAAAATGACTTTGAGATTTTATTTATTGGTGGTCCAGAGAGAAGGCCATAGATAGCCAAAGGAAGCATGAAATATTCACAAGAATTATTTTGGTAGCAATTTGCGAGGCAATTTGTGATCACAAAATTATTGCCAATCATATTGAGAGTGTACTCCCACTAAGCAAATTTGAAAGCTATGTTGATACAAGGTTGTAGCAATTACCGAGGCAATTACTGAAACGGACGTCCAGCAACATTGCAAATGTAATATTGTCACAGCAGCATGTAATATTGCTGCAACGCTATATTATCAAACTTCACCTTTGCAATATTGCCTGGAATATTTCTGAACGTCCGTTTCAGTTATTCCTTCAACATTGCATCAATATAGCTCTCAATTTTGCTTAGTGGGCTCATTCTTGATTTAGGTATACTGTAACTGAATATTGTAGGAGATTTCATTCAACTCATGCTTCAACATGATCATTTGGAATATTTCAATAACATTTTCGACGAATTATTAGTCTTGAATTTAAAGTATTTGCTATTCAATATTATATTCGAGATATTATTCATCATCCACGATTCTCATCAGTCAACAAAGTCAGTAAACAATTCTGATTTATCGCAAATTTTCATCAAAATTTATTTTTGTGAGTGTGAATTTCACAATTGGATAATTCTCGGGATAATTGCCAACGACTTGGCCAACGAGGTTGCATTGTTCTCCTATGATGTTCATATCTTGTACTTACCTCGGAACTCACGAAATCACATTGTGTGAAAGAAGTGCGCAGAAACGAAAATTATCTCATGAAAACTCGAGTGAAACCTTGTATACAATAATTCAAATATAGGTTACTTCTAATCTCGCTTCTGATACAAGGAATCATGCATGATAACTTCCTCCTGAAAATGATCTGCCCTCTGTTCTCGCCATTTCAAAGAAAATTTTGAATCTAAAACTGATGGAGAACTTTCACATTCGATTCTTGCGCGTTCAGTGGTTTGTAGTGGTTTTCTCACATACAGTAGTCAGTACACGAAGGAAAATACTCCTAGGAATAGAAGAAAAATGATATCTTACTGAGGTCTATTGTATTTCTCATATCTTGGATCTCACGGAAGGGAATCTCATCGGGAGTCTCTATAAAGGTCGAAAAACATAGTGCGTACTAGAGAGGATAGCGAGGAGAATAGGGAGAGGACGTAGGAATTGGATTTTTCTGAACTTCTGGAGATTATGAGCTCTTGGGAATACTGTCATCGACAAAAAATCCAAAGTTCTGCTGTTTTATAGACAAACGAGTTTTGATATGGTGTTCTTCGATATACTTCAAGGTTGACAACGAAGGGATGTCTGACTGAACTTGTCGAAGGGATCTTCTGACTGGACTTGTCGAGTTCGTCTGTATTGTTGATATGAAAATAGCGAGCATAGATCTCGGCATAGATATAGTGGACTTTGTAGGACTGGTGGTACCAGATATTGATATACCTATCAGCCAGCCTATCAGGCATACTGGGTTCTGCTTTTCTAGAGTGAATATTGCTCTGAGTTTTGGTGGTGTTCAATTCAACCCGGTTGTTGATACTCCAGGATAAGATCAAGCAAGATCGAGAGCAAGATCATCATTGACAGCGTTGATCTGCCTTTGTCTTAAGTTCTTAGTTCCCTGATGAGAAAAAATAGGGATTCTGAAAGAGAACGCGGTATGAAAAATATACTATCATCTGCAAAGCTGTGAATAGGGTGAGTGGAATTCATAACAAATTTGGTGCCAAAATTGATCCTTGAAGAACACTGGAATCGGCAGGAATCGATGGCTATGGTATAAGACGATACTCCGTTCACCACCACAAAAAGCGAACTGCCTGAAAACAAACTAAAGAAAAGGTATGGCGTAGCTGAGATAATAGGCCGTGTGTTGTTATTCCTTGGTGCCAAAGGCGGTCGAATGATGTCTAACGCCACAGCTGAAGATTTTCCATGTTTTCTAATGAATCTTGCCATATAGGAATGACACTCGGAATGACATATATAGTCAAGTGAATCTCCCATGGAGTATAAACAAAGAGTTAATGTCTGATTGCGAAATCCATATTGTCTATCACTGATGATTCCTGAGCTTTACAGATATTTGATTAGCTCAATATTGATGGCTTTCGACATCACTTTGGAGATAACTGATGACAGGGCAATAGGCCTACAAAAACTCTTGATGATAAATATCAAACAGGTAGTAATTCGAGAAGCTCGCTGACAGTATTTAGTTCCTCGTTTTTTCCCCAAGTGATGGAACGCTTTGGAAAATAATATTATCCTTTATAATCACGATTTTTTCATTTATTTTTTCTTCTCATTGAATAAGTGCAAGAATGGATCAATATATCAGGGATTATAACCACATACCAGTAGATACCCTTGTACTTAATGATACCAATATGTTAAATGATTCTCTAAACAAAGAAAAACATATTAATAATTTTAAAATGATACATCAAAATATCAGAAGTATCGGAAAGAATCTGAATGAGTTCCTTTTGAATATTGATCAAGTATCAAGTAAATTCGATTTATTAATTCTAACTGAAACATGGAAAGTACCTGATACAAGCATCTTCAATATACCCGGGTATGTGCTTCGTTACAGCGGGGAAGGTATCAATAAAAATGATGGCGTAATTATTTATTTAAGGAATAATTTAAATTATGAATACAAAGTTATAACAATTGGGGAATGTGAATCTTTAGAAACAAAAATAATACACGAGAACAAAATAATATTCGTTACTGCCATTTACCGAGCACCACAAGGGTTACAAGAATATTTCGTTGTAAATCTTAGAGCCTACCTAGAACAAGCGAAACATGTAATAAAAGATTATCATATTTTAATAGGAGACATCAACATCAACACACATTTGGATGATGATGATATCGTGAATGAATATCTTGACACCCTGGGAGAATATAACTTCATACCGATGATAACAAAAACTACTCGAGAACACGGTGGAGCTGAATCCTGTATTGATCATATTTGCCTATATAGTAAACATGAAAATACCATTGAAGATACTTTATCTATTATTCTGAGGTCCTCTATAACAGACCACTTTTGCCAAATATTAAGTTTGCCCATTCGTATCCAGAGTGAAGTAACCTCGATATCCATTAGAAAATACTTAGATTATACAAAGTTGAAAAATGAACTGCAAAACTACGATTGGTCAAACTTGTATCAAATAAGAGATGTTCAGAGAGCAACAACGTTCTTTATAAATCACCTCAGTTCTAAAATCGAGAATAGTAGTAGAATAGTAAAACAAAAACATATGGAAAAACAAAGACAGGAATGGGCTACACCTGGTTTGATAACATCAATAAATAGGAAAAATGAACTTTATAAGATGTACAGGATCGACCCAGAATTGTATGAAAACGAATTCAAAAATTATCGAAACCATTTAAATAATCTAATAAAAAATACAAAAATCAACTTTTATAGAGATAAAATAAAAAAGAATGCAAAATCATCAAAACAACTTTGGGATACTTTGAAACAATTGGAAAAAAATAAAGTAAAAAGTGAGATAAAAGAAATTCTGAAAGATTCTGGGGAAATAGTAACTGATGAGACACAAATTGCAAATATCTTTAACGAACATTATGCTAGAGTTGGTAGAAGTTTGGCAGAAAAAATTATGAAACCAGAAACAGCGCCCCCAATTAACGTAATTAACCAATCTTCGATATTTCTCTACCCTGTGTCAATTGAAGAAACTGTAGAAGTTATAATGCAATTAAAAAACAATAAATCACCTGGAATAGATTCCATCAGAGCTGAAACATTGAAAAGCATAGTACAAGAAATAAAAATACCCTTAACACATATATTGAATGAAATAATGAAGGTTGGTAGATGTCCAAATGAATTCAAACTAGCTGTCATAAAACCGATCTACAAAAAAGGGAATAAACTAGAAGCACAAAATCATAGGCCTATTTCACTGATATCAGTTTTTGCAAAAATATTTGAAAAAGTGGTTAAAACGAGACTGGACACATTTTTAAATAAACACAAACTTCTGTCCGAAAGGCAGTTTGGTTTCAGAAAGGGAAAATCGACTCAGGACGCGATAATACACCTCACCTCCAAGATCTATGATTCGATAGAAAATTGCAAACCTTCCATGTGTGTCTTCCTCGACTTATCCAAGGCCTTTGATACTGTGAGTCACACTCAGTTATTAGAGGTTTTGGAAGGTATGGGAATTCGTGGCACACCATTAGAGCTAATGAAAAGTTATCTACAAAATAGGAAACAATGTGTGCAGATAAAAACAAAATTGAGCACAGAAAAAGTAGTTGAATATGGAGTCCCACAAGGAACTGTGCTAGGGCCTATATTATTCACTGCTTACATTGACAACCTACTCAACTTGAATTGTTCTGGAGATATTATCAGTTATGCAGATGACACTGCGATTTTTTATCAAGATGAAAACTGGGACGACTTGAAAAAAAAAGGTGAAAGTGACCTAGCTCAAATAGTTACATGGTTTAACCATAAATTGTTAACAATCAACATTGATAAAACTTTCTTCATCCCATTCACGTCATACAAAAATAATTTACCAACCTACACATCACTGAACATTGAAACTTTTGATATTTCAATCAAAATAGCTAGTGAAATCAAATATTTGGGTATAACACTTGACTCACATCTCA